CCCCCCCCCCCCTTTATTTCTCCCTTTCCCTGCCCTGGAGCCTGTGTGATAAAGATTAATTTGCTATTTCTGGGCCTGTGACATTTTTCAGAGCCTCCTGCTGGTTGCTGCCTCCTTGCCAAGACTGGCTGGGCTCCAGCCAACGGGATTAGCAAGGAGGGGCTAAGGGAATATGGTGCTCGCCATGGACTGGGGAAGGAAGGAGCAATGGGCTCTCAGAGTAGGTCATTATACGTGTAGGAGGAGTGACTGAAGGTGTACCTGGGTATGTGTGTGTAGATCCTGGGCCTTAGTCTAGAGGATGCAAGGCATCAGTGATAACATCTGCATGCAAGACTTGTCGCCTGGGGTCATCCCAAGGGAAGATGTATCCTGGATCCTTTAATTACGGCTTCAGTGAGATAAAAGCACTTGGAATCTGTCTCCAGAATCAGGCTACTTCTGCCTCTTAATTTTATTTTTTTTAACCATTCCAGCCTTCCTGGACACCCAGATGCCTGTCCACTTATTTGTAATAAGATAGTAATGAGGAGGCCAGAAGGAACACATTGTTTTCTGATGAGGCTTCCCAAGAGCCATGTAGAGTAGAACTAAAGAAAGATAACTTCTTCCTCCCAGCCTATTTTAGACTTCTTTATTTCCAGAGAAGAAGGTAGGGAGGGGTGGTTGTTACCTGCCACTAGATGATATTCTGCTCGTCCTCCTGCATCTGTCATTGGTGGCTAATACACTCCTGTGCTCTATCCCTTACCCCAAATCCATCTCAGCAAACAAGCACAAACCCTGGATTGAAGCTGAGTATCAGGGCATTGTTATGGAGAATGACAACACAGTCCTGCTCAACCCACCGCTATTCGCCCTGGACAAAGATGCTCCGCTGCGCTATGCAGGTAGGTGGGTGACAGCTCTGGGAAGGGTGGGAGGCAGGGAAAGACTTCTGAAGAGGCAGAGACGAGGTGGCATTTGTCCCTGTACTGGATTCTAGCCCTCTCCTGGAAACAATCACCTTCAAACCTTGCTCCGGGGGAGGTCCTCAGTGGAGTCTTCAGGCAGTATGGGCATGGCTTGATTTAGGATGCTGTGAGCTGTTTCCCTTAGGGAGAGAAATTGAGGGTGGAGCCAGCTACTTTTTGACGCAGTTCTGCTATTTCCAAAGATCACATGCACAGCTCTCTGTCTGTGAGCACTGGAGAAAGCTGGTAGGGCACACTTTGTTGGCAGTGCTACATCCCATCACAGTAAGCACAAATCTCTGAAGCTGCAGACAAGGCTTTACAAGGGTTATATTCCTGGTGCTTGCTTTGGCTGTGCCTGGAGCTTTCTCATGCATCCTCCCTCAGCTTTGGGAGAGGAAAAGTGGTCCCTGTGAGCTGAACTTTACGATTTAGGTGACCCTATCTGCAGTTCCCTGCGGTACTGTACACATCCTGCATGTGTGGGTGGATGAGACATCGTGGAGCTTCATGCTTTGGCTGTCTATCTATATATGGCCTGTTTTGCCTCCCTGAGGGATGCAGAGGAGAAATAAGGTGCTCCCTTAGTACTGTGTCTGTGTAGCACTAAATACAGCTGGAGCCTTGTAACCTCTAATCTTTCTGGATGCTGGTCAAGACTCCTTACCTTAGGAGCAATCTCCTGTAGAGGGCAATCTGCACCATTAATGGCTGTAAGAGATGGCAGGAGGAACTCTCAGAGAACCAAAAATTGCTCGAAATGAAAAGTGATAATGAGGGAGAAAAGAGAGTGTAGGTTGGAAGGGAAGAAAATATGGGAGAGGGAAGCAAGGGGGCATAATGTGCTCTCTTCAGTCATTTTCTTTCTCTCCTTCCACTCTGCCTTTGTGGGTACCAGGTGAAATCTGTGGCTTTAGGATCCATGGGGCAGGGGTACCTTTTGAAGCTGTGATCCTGGACAAAGCTACAGGTGAGGGGCTGATCCGGGCCAAGGAACCAGTGGATTGTGAAGCACATAAAGAGCACACATTCACCATTCAGGCTTATGATTGTGGAGAGGGACCTGATGGAGTAAATACCAAGAAATCACACAAGTAAGTCCCTGCAGTCATTGCTGAGTATTACAAAATGTGATCTGTCACAGGAACGCCAATGAAAATTGCTGTGGGAATGCTTCCTTTAGCCAGAATTATTTTTCTCTAGCCCTGATACTGTAACTCAACACGTTAATAAGACCCAAACAGAAATGTTCAGTGACTGAGTCACATGAGTGAATACATTACAAATGAGAGCTGCTTGACAACTGTGTCTAAGGGTGGTGTTTTATGTTGCTGCATATAGGCGGGAGGTCCAGGTTATGTTATTGTTCCTATTGCTCTTTCTCTGGGGTGGGAAATCATTGTCCAAGCTCCTGTGTGCCAGCATTGCTGCATTGAAATCATGTTCTCTTTCCCTTCCTTGCTTTTGACAGCTGGAAATCAGACTGGTGCACTTTAGGGAAGTGACTTACACTGAAATTTAGCTGGTGTATGTTTCTTAATCAGCCAATCGGTTCTTACTGATGTCTCTCTGCATCAGGGCCACAGTGCATGTTCGAGTAAACGATGTGAATGAGTTTGCTCCTGTCTTTGTGGAGAAGTTGTACCGTGTGGCAGTGACTGAGGGAAAGCTGTATGACCGCATATTGCGTGTAGAAGCCATTGATGGAGACTGCTCACCACAGTACAGCCAGATCTGCTACTATGAGATCCTGACCCCAAATACTCCCTTTCTGATTGACAATGATGGTAAGAATTCGCACCTACCGTAAGCACAGCACTCCCCCTTTCCTGCTTTGCACCCTCTCTGCCAGTCCCATTTGCTGGCAGAGCTGTGCTATATGAATTTCCTAGCACAGCTGATATATCTCTCCTCATGCTGAGAGGCAGTAGCCATTTTGTGGGATGCTATAGCTTGTTACAGAATGGCACTGGGAGGGGGGAGTCAACCCGTTTTGGTTGTTTTTATAGCTGATCAAAAATAAGAGTGATTTCTAGAAAGAACGTCTTTGACACTGACACTGTCTTTCCTCTCCCTTGATCTCTTTGTTCTGCTAACCAGGGAACATCGAGAACACAGAGAAACTGCAGTACAGTGGAGATCGTCTCTACAAATTCACAGTGACAGCCTATGACTGTGGAAAGAAGCGGGCTTCTGATGATGCTGAAGTGGAAATCCAGGTGAAACCTACCTGCAAGCCCAGCTGGCAGGGTATGAAACCTCCAAACACAGTGATGTCTTTGCTACTCAGTCCTACTCAATGCAAATATTTGTATATACACGTACGAATTTGTATGCCCATATATAAGGGTTCAGTTCTGGCACCAAACATCAGTCCTATCTAAGGGGATGCAGCAGACATCTAAGTCTGTTGCAAAGCCACTGAAAGACAATTCTAACATTGGAAAATTATTCCTTGCATTGCTGTGAACTACTGTGTATTTGATGAGGCTCACTGACTATATTCAGTGTAGATTGGTTTTGGAGCTGCTCATCTTGAGGATATTTGGCTTTTCCAGAGGTGTTTTATGCTGACAGGTTCACCTTAGTCAATGGAATTAAGGGGAAGTCAACACAGCTAAATATCTGTTCTGCCTGATAAGAGGTTGGCAATTCAAGGAGAGATGCTACACCAGTACTAGCTGTAGAAGATGAGAATTTGGACTCTGTACTTGTAGGAAGTCTTCCCTTGCACTGATGCCAGTGGCATCAAGTTGTCTTTACAACATGGAAAGGGCCAAAAATCTCTGTTTCTGGGCTAGTCCACAGATGCCACTTGTGTGTGTGCCAAGTGTTCTGGCCTTGAGTCCTTGGCAAGACCTAACCCTCTCTCTTTCACTCTTCTTCATTAGGCTGGAACAAGAGGATTGAGTACACCCCTGGTGCAGGCAGCCTCGCGCTTTTCCCCAGCATTCACCTGGAGTCCTGCGATGAGCCACTCTGGAATATTCAGGCCACAGTGGAGCTGCAGACAAACCACGTGGCCAAGGGCTGTGACCGGGATAACTACTCTGAGAAGTCGCTTCGCAAACTCTGTGGTGAATCGATTCTTTCCTGGGCTGAGGGCAGCTGTGGCATAGCACCCTGCCCCTTCCCCTGGAGGGGTTCGCAGTGGTGGCAGCTCTGTGGCTTGCACAGCAGCGATGCTGGGTACACATTCCTCACCCCTGATGCAGTCAGTGGGGCTGGGGGAACACCCAGCTCATATGCTGCATCGAGGAGCGGTGCACACCCTGCTTGTATTTACAAGGGGTTCCTTATGCTTTCCTTGCTGGGGAGCCAGAAGTGTCTGTGTGTTGCCCCAGTACGCAGAATCTGTGGGACTTCCCTTTGCACAGATGGAAGTCACCATCCTCCAGACAGGAGAAGGCCTGTAGGCAACTCCTCCTTTCCCTGTGGTCTGGAACATTACAAAAAGCCCTCTAACACCCTCTTCATCTGTTCCCCAGTTCTCAGGCTCCTTATTCTTTGACTCCTGTGTCAGAGCTCTCTGGTGCTGACATTCCTGACTCCTTCCCTTCTCGGTAGGTGCGGCCTCAGGAGAGATTGACCTGCTGCCGGTGCCTAGCCCTGTGGCGAACTGGACTGCTCAGCTGTCGGTGCACTACAGCCAGGACAGCAGCCTCATCTACTGGTTCAATGGCAGCCAGGCTGCCCAGGTGCCTGTGGTGAACGGCCTGAACACCCACGAGGGGCTGAGTGACCACTTCACCCTGTCTGTGTGGATGAAGCACGCGGTGGTGCCTGGCAAAGGCAGGCGGGAAGAGGAGATGGTCATCTGCAGTACAGTG